TTGGCAGGCCCGGGCTGGGGATTCGAACCCACCACCTTAGGTGTATGTGGCTGGCGCCTTAGCTGCTTGAGCCACAGGCGCCGAGCCAAGACAGTCTTAGATACTGTAAAACTGTTAGAAAATGCTGTTGGAGAGGTAGCCAGACAATAGATACTGGCATCTTCCTGGACTGTGTAAGAACTTTCTAACATGGTGGGAAACCACTAAAAATGTAAGGTATGTGGAGGCAATGTAAGGGGAGGAGCAGGCAAGAATGGAAGCAGGAATATGAGGTGCCTTGGACATGGCATCAGTGGAAGTGGTAAGGTAATTAGACTTAACCAATGCACTGGATGTGGAGGGTAAGACCAAAAGAAATTATGGGCGCTCAGTGCCTGTGACTCAAGCAGCTAAGACACCAGCCACATACACCTGAGCTGGCGGATTCAAATCCAGCCTGGGCCCACCAAACAACAACAATGACGGCTGCAACCAAAAAAAAAATAGCAGGGCGTGTGGCAGGCACCTGTAGTCCCAGCTACTTGGGAGGCTGAGGCAGGAGAATCGCTTGAGCCCAGGAGTTGGAGGTTGCCATGAGCTATGATGCTATAGCACTCTATCCAGGGCAACAGCCTGAGGCTCTGTCTCAAAAAAAAAAAAAAAAAGAAAGAAAGAAAGAAAAGAAAAGAAATCATGGAGATCTCCTTTGTTTATGTGTTCAACAACAGGGAAGACTGAGAATAAGTTGCTTGGAAAGGTTTTCTTTTGTAAATCACAACAATGGGTAAAAAAAGGTAATAAAGTGCCAAGAATGTGTAAGATGGGCAAGCGCTTAAGCTCACAGTTGAAGACAAGCCTAAGCAAGAGCAAGATCCTGTCTCTAAAAAAAACAGCCAGGTGCTGCGGTGGGCCCCTGTAGTCCCAGCTACTTGGAAGGCTGAGGCGAGAGGATTGCTTGAGCTCAAGTGTTTGCAGTTGCTGTGGGCTATGATGCTACAGCACTCTATAGAGGGCAACAAAGTGAGACTCTGTCTCAAAAAAAAAAAAAAAAATGTGTAAGGAACACTGTACTTTGGCAGAGGGAGAAAAAAAGGCATTCTTTCTGCAAAAGCCAGATGTTATCATATCAAATTCTACAATTGCTCAATGTTAAGTTTTACAATATGTGTACAGTTTCAAATAATAGTTTTAAAAAATTGCCCTTTACTAAAATTATTCTCCCCACATAAAACCCTATAGTCCCCAAACCTCCCTACGAGTAAAGTATAAATATTTCGAGTCACAGAGTAATTCAGAGCCCTGAGATTTCACATCTGTATTCTTAAAGAGATTTGGAAAGACATCTACTTTTGTTTTAACAAAGGAGCCCCAGCAAATAAGTACACAAGTTTTCTTCATCTCATACCAGACATAAGCATCTAATCTACAAAAAGCAAGGAAGGAGGCTGACCTTTAGAATCACACCTGGATTTACTTATGTTAAATTTTAAAACTCCTCAAAATACAAAAAGGACTTTGCTTTGCTTACATTTCTATTTAATTCATACGTTAAGAATGTAAGATTACTCAGAATAAAAGAAGGGATTTTTTTTTTCAACAAATCTTTTTCTTACCCAGTATCTATGTATTTATGTCTTAAAAGTTACTTAAGTCACCACATAGTACTTGTCATTATAGGGCCCCCAAATTACCTTAAAGTTATTTTCCTTTGGTTTTCTTCTCATTATTATGTTGAAAGTATCATACACGTCTTCTGCTCCATTTTGTATAGTATTGGTCATATCTTGTTGATACTGGTTTGGGTCCAAAAACACTCTAAATGTCCTTGACTCTCCTCTAAGATTGGGTCTGGGTTCAGGTCCTGGATGTTTTGAACAAGTTTGTTAAATTAAATATCTATTTTTCAAATATCAAAGTAAGTCAGCAGTATTTCTTTTCTAGAAATGATGGGAAATTGTCTGCACTTAACTCCAACCATTCTCTCCTGACTACAATGTCCTCTTCTCGTCCATTTCAAATTTCAAGAGGTTACAACTATAATATTTCCCCTCTTCTCTAATTTTTTACTATTTCCTCCCACATAGTCATGTAATGTTTATAAGGCAATATTGTGAATTGCTAATATTTGTATACGCCCTCAACTCCAATAGGAGCTCTCAGAAGTCAATGAACTCATCTTTCCTTTTGTCCATTACTTATAGCTCCTCCTACTGCCTTACATATAGTAAATACTCAATAAATATTTTCTAAATTATTTTGGGATTTCAGGCATAGTTTTCCTATTCCTTAATTTGACAGAGGTTGACCATTTGCATCCACCCTCTTTCCATACCTAGTATTACCAGCATGAAAGGAAATTTCACACATACAGAAATGGGAGATACTATGGCTGAAAGCCCAGGGTAGACACCCCTGGGGTCTTGGACCTCCCACTTTGGTCTCATTTGGTAGCCTCATGTTTATCCTATCCACCCTCCAGTCCCTTCTCTTATTTTCTTTTATTCCAGAGATGAATAGTCCAATCAGCAGCAGTTTAACAAGGACACACCTTGAAATCACAGGTGGTAGAAGCTAACATAAGCTTCAAGGGAAATAAAATAAGCACTAGACGTGCATGCAGTTATAATAATAAATATTACAAAGGCATTCAGAACAATGGAAGAAAAAATTCAAAGGATAATGAGCGAAAGCATAAGAAATCAAAGAGCTGAGTAACCCAGGAAAGCAGTGTATTAAATCGGGTAAAGCTGGCACGGCAAGTCCTTCTGTAAGACAGCTGTGTTATGATGCTCAGCATCCCTGGCCCCTACCCACCAAATGCCAATGGTCTGCCACTTCCCACCCCTACATCAGTCATTTGACAACCTCAATACCACCATGCATTTCCAAATGTAGGACAGTACTGCTCCCAGTTGACAACCACAGTTATAATGAATCTGAACAGTAAAACTTACAAAGGAATAATAAGGTAAAGCTTTGAATAAAGGCGATTTCAAAAGATCCTGTCCTTTCCGGTATCTAACAGAAATTCTGAAATCATATTACCTATTTCTAAAACTACATGGTAAGCACTCTCCACATATTTTATACAAAATCCTGTGTCAGTTTAGTACATAAAACAACTAAAAAATATTACCTAAGAAGCAAAAAGGAAACAAGGCAAAGAAAATTTTCATTCTATACACATACTCATTCAAAAATAGAAAGCACCATACCATCTTCAATGACACGCCCTTTATCATCCAGCATGCCCTGGATTTCACAGCCTCTGACATAAACCAGGCCGACCTGCTCAATAAAAGGTCTCCTCCGGTCAAACTTAGTGCCATAAGGTTTTGTGGGGCGCACAGTAATTAAAAAGCATACATCATGTTTACGAAGACCTGGTAAAACACAGAGACATTTTCATTTATGAGAATTTCATTGTTTTCATATGTTGGCAAATTCTCAACCTCTTATCTTGGAAAGAGAAATATAAAAAATATTTAAAATATCATGGGTAACCAATGATTATTATTACCTCATAATGCAATTATGGGTCTTCCTATAATTTTTTATAGTCAGTGTTGGATAGCAATAATTAAAATGAAAATCTCTTTATATTAAAACTAGAAATTTTTATGCCATGAATACATTACTGAATAAACCCTCCAAGTCACGCTACAGCTCCAAAATTGGATGCTCATCATCATTCTTATTTTTAACATTCTTAATAAGTAACCAAAAATGTGGTTGGCCTACAATTCATCTGTATCATATTTAACAGGTTTCTAACATCAGTTTAAATTATCTATCATAGTCATTCTACTGACAGCTTAATGTATTCCACTAAACCAGGTTAACTCGAGAATAATTTATCAGTTCAGCGACCGAAGCTCAGCGGTTAGGGTGCCGGCCACATACACTGGGGCTGGCAGGTTTGAACCCGGCCCAGGCCTGCTAAACAACGACAACTGCAATAAAAAAATAGCCACGTGTTGTGGTGGGTGCCTGTAGTCCCAGATACTTAGGAGACTGAGGCAAGAGAATCACTTTAGCCCAAGGGTTTGAGGTTGCTATGAGCTGTAATAACATGGCACTCTACCAAGGGCAACATAGTGAGACTGTCTCAAAAAAAAAAACCAGAATAATTTATCAAAGCATAAAGTGCTGTTTACAGACAATACCTTTAGAAGGATAGTTGAATATATATAGCTTCAGTTGGCAAACAATGAAACTTTTTCTAAAGTGAAAGCCAAGAAATAGGAGACTTATGCCAAGTCCATAGCTTCTCAATCGTTAGACCGAACAATGGACTCAAATGGACCGAACAAATGGACTCTCAGCTCTATTATAAAATTATAGATACTAGAAGACAAGGGGCACAAAATTAGACCTTGCAACATGTAACATCACACCACTTCAGTTCTTTTCTGATATTTTTGTTAGATGTTAAATTACATAAATATAAAAATGCAACAGTTTGCTTGCTCATAACCTTGGTAGCAAGGTACAATTAAATCAAGCCAGCAATGTGGGTGTTGGGTAATAGTACTGAAATCATTTTGTTTTAATTTGGAGTGGTTTTAGAGAGTAAAGGTAGAAATAATAACTGACTCATAACATTGATGTTATTATTTCCCAATACATTCTATGCAAAGAAACAGGAGAAGCAATGAGAACAAAGGAGAACTAACTGTTCCACCATCTGAATTGTGCTGGTGTCTGATCTGTAAGACTCATTAAACTCCCAAGAAGTGACCCTGAAAAGTCATTTAGTTCCTACCAGTGCAGGAGTCATTTTTTGGCATCACTCAGAAGAGATCTCTTGTTCCCTCCCAAAGTAGATCATTTTACTGTGGAACATCTTAAATTTACATTTTAAAAACACCTATCTGACAAAGAGCTCAACTCTCACTGTCTCCTTCCAATCATTTGTACCACCCTATCCTAGCTGTGCTTTCTAAATGAATAAAACTGCATCTCAGTTTCATTAATTACATTTCCTCAATTTTAAATGAGGGTACTGGAGAAGACTGAAACGATAAGAGGAATTTTTATGGTACTTAGTTCAAAATCTTCAAAAGTATTCTCTACTTTTATAAAACATTTGTCACTACTTACAGAATTTCTCTATCTCATCTTTTGCTCCATTTTCCATTTGGTTACCGTATATATGATTAATATAGGGGCTGACTTTTGGCCCCTGTCTCTTCGAAAACACTTTTCTCCCCCATTGTACCTGATAATAGGAATCACTCATCCCATAAAACTCTATTGTTCCCTGTTTTGCTCATTAAAATTTAACCATTGTAGTTCTCATTCTACCAGAGACTGATGTTTAAAAAAAAGGGGGAAAATGGGATGTTTGGGTAAAACAATCCTTTGTTTTCCTTAACACCGAAATGCAAACCTTTCATCTATAAAATGTCCTTTTTCCTCTTTTTAAATATGTCCAGGAATGGCCAGGTATGTTGGATCATGCCTGTAATCCCAGCACTTTGGGAGGCTGAGGTGGGCATATCATTTGAGCTCACAAGTTCGAGACCAGTCTGAGCTAGAGAGAGATCCCCATCTCTAAAAATAGCCAGGCATTATGGAAGGCGCCTGTAGTGCCAGCTACTTGGGAGGCTGAGGCAAGAGAATCGCTTGAGTCTAAGCGTTTGAGGTTGCTGTGAGCTGTGATGCCAGAGCACTCTACTGGGGCAACAAAGTGAGACTCTGTCTCAAAAAAAATACAATGTCCAACTATTACTGCTTCCAGGGTACCCAATAGTTAGTTATCTCAGTTTATTACTTCACTAAGGAAAACAGTTGTCTTTCTCAAAGTTCAGCAATAAAGGTGAGCATTATTCTAGATGTGTAATTCACCAGAGTGGAACACTTCTCAAGAGTCCAGGGCTCACAAAAATGATTTATCACAGACCATACCCATTACATAGGTATTTGTTAAACATTTCTCCTGCTCCATAGCTGGATTCCTTCAGAATTTTTTAATAAACATATAATTTAGGTCCTGAAGTTATAAACAGCTATACTATGTACTAGGAACAAAAATTTCTGAAAACTGATCCATCAAGGTAACATCTCTTTCCTTCTAGCATGCCAAGAAGATAGGAGATAAAGCCTACCAGCTACTGTTTCTCAAAACAGGGCAGCAAGTAAGATCGTTCACAGACAGCTGGGAGGAAAGCATAAAAGTGCCAACTAAAAATCAGTTCATATGCTACTTCTGGCATAGAAGTTATTGATGTTTTAACTCTATGTGACTTAGTAACTTTGAACATATCTGCCTCTAAAAAGAATTTTGAGATAGAATGCTCATCCCTAAAATCTCACCTAGTAAAAAAGGAGTAATAACTCAATTTCTCTGTAACATTATTGTATGTATATCTTTAAGTATCTTGATTTCACTGATTTGTTATCTGACTCCCTCCATTTGGTGCAAATACACTATTATTTCTTTCCAAGTTGTTACATAATCCCCCTATTCCTTCAAAGTTTGCGCAATTTTGATTTTATACCTTTATTTCCACAAAGAGTATGTATTTCTATTCTTTTCACCTTGGCCACCTTTATTTTTTGGAAATAACAATTTTCATTATTTATTCTGCCATATGTGTTCAAGTTATATGTGGATTTTATCCCTTTCTTTGGTGAATACAAATGTTTTTATTTTTTTATGTTGATCTCAAATTGATAAATATTATCTTGCTAAATTTAAGACTTAAAATGCCATCCTCTGAGCTTTGCAAGCTGCAATTTTAAAAACACTTTGATACACATACAAGTTTATGCTTTTTGTTAAAATATTAAGAATACTTAGGTATTTCTGTATGATCTTTGCTATTTTTTACTACTAATAGGACAAAAATTGCCATTCTTTAAATCAAATTTCAAGGCTAAATTCTAATAAAAGTTTAAAAGGCTAACATTTAAAAGTACTTTCCTAATGCTATAAGTAAAAACCTATAAAAAGGCAACAGGCAACTGCACTTTTTGAAATGCACAATTACCTTCCCATTCATCTTTGATGTGATCTCTGACATTGAGATTGATGGTAACATCTGCACGAACTCGGGTTGGCCAGTTTTCACCTATATTGGGTTTGGCAACTTCAACTACAGTAAACGCCACAATGGGCTGTGCCATTCTTGCCCAGCCTCCAAATACTACACCACCATATTCAGATTGCCTGAAGACCAAAGAAATAGATGATTACTCAAACAAAAATAACTTTCCCCCAACTTTTAAATGAGTAAAATTAGTAAGATATTCATACATTGTGAAATCATTATCAGAATCAACCTAAATAATACATCCATCCCCACATAGCTACCATTTTTTTGTGTGTGGTGAAAATACTTAAGATCTATATGTACCATCCCGACAAATTTCAAGTATATACTATATTAACTCTAGTTACTACACTGGCTATGTGGCCTCCAGAACTTATGCATCTTACAACTAAAAGCCTGTACCCTTACCAATAACTCCCCATTTCCCCTACCCCAACCCCTGATAACCACCTTTCTAAGCTGTTTCTGAGTTCAACTTTTTTTAGATTCCCTATGTAAAGTGAGATCATTACTACTTATCTTTGTCTATCTGGCTTATTTCACTTAATATAATGTACTCTGGGTTTATCCAACTGGTCAAAAAAGCAGTCCTTCATATTAAAGACTGAATAGCACTCCATTGTGTGTATGTGTGTGTGTTTTATATATACACACACACGCCATTTTCACATTTTTTCTTTATCCATTTATCCCACGATGGACGCAGTCGTCATTTTCATATCTTGTTTTCTGTGAATAACATTGCAGTGAACATGACCATACAGGTATCCCTTCAGGACAGTGATTTTACTTCTTTTGGATAAATACCCCAAAGTGGGATTGCTGGATTATATGGCAGTTCTATTTTTAATTTCCTGAAAAACCTCCATACTATTTTCTATAATGGCTGTACTAATTTATATTCCTACCAACAGGGTTCCCTTTTCTCCATAACCTTGCCAACACTTGTTATCTTTTGATTTTTCGATGAAAGCCATTCTAAAAGCATGAACTGGTATCTCACTGTAGTTTTGATTTATATTCCCCTGATGAGGAGGAATGGTGAATTCCTTTTCATCTGTCATTTGTATGGCTTTTTTCTTCTTCTTCTTTTTTTTTTTTTTTTGCAGTGTTTGTCCAGGGCTGGGTTTGAACCCACCACCTCTGGCATATGGGTCTGGTGCCCTACTCCTTTGAGCCACAGGCACCGCCTTGTATGGCTTTTTTGAAAAAATATTTTTTTCAGGTCCTTTACCCATTTTTAATTGGGCTATTTGGTTTTTGGAATTGAGTTATATTCAGTTATATTTTGAAGATATACAAACACACACAAAATATCCTTATCAGATACTTGGTTTGCAAATACAGTAGAATCTCTGTAAGTTGACTGCCCAAGAGACTACAACAAACTGGTCAACATAAGGACCTAGGCTTGACATGTGGTGCACGTCTAGTCTATCGAAACTAAGTCAGCTTGAGGAGGTGGTAAATGTAGGGAGGTAGTCAACCATGAAGAGAGGGTCTACTGTATTTTCTCCTATTCTGTAGGGTTGCTTTTATATTTCCTTGATTGTTTCCTTTGCCGGGTAGAAGCTTTTTAGGTTGATGTAATCCCTATTTGTTTTTTTGCTTTTGTTGGCTATGCTTTTGGTACCATATTTAAAAAAAAAAAAAGTCATTGTCAAGACCAATGACAGGAAGCTTTCCTTCCAGGTTTTCTTCTAGGAATTTCATAGGTTCAAGTTTCATGTTTAAATCTTTAACCTATTTGCAGCTGATTTTCCTACACGGTGCAAAGTAAAGATCCAATTTCACTTTTTTGCATGCGGATATCCAGTTTTCCCAATACCATTTATAGAAAAGAAACTCCTTTCCTTATGGCATATTCTTGGTATATGCATCAAAGACTAGTGGATCAAATGTGTGGGCTTACTCCTGGGCTTTCTAATCTCTTCCACTGGTCTATGTGTCTGTTTCTATGCCAGTACCACGCTGCTTTGATTAATATGGCTTTGTAAAATAATTTGAAATCTGGAAGTGTGATGTCTGCAGTTTTGTTCTTCTTGATCAAGATTGCTTTTGCTGGCCAGTGCCTGTGGCTCAAAGGAGTAGGGCACTGGTCCCATATACAGGAAGTGGCAGGTTCAAACCTGGCTCCAGCCAAAAACTGCAAAAAAGATTGCTTTTGCTATCTGGGATCTTTTTGTGTAACTAATCAGCACCCTTTCATTCTTTTTTTTTTTTTTTTGAGACAGAGCCTCAAGCTGTCCCCCTGGGTAGAGTGCCATGGT